CCCACATCCTTAACTATTTGCGAACAGTAATCTAATCTAGGTCTACCTCTACCCCTCCTAACTCCTGTTTCTGCCTCTAATATGTCTCTGACTAGACCTTCATGCCTGAGAAGGTGTCCTACCAACTTATCTCGCCTATTTTTTATTGACTTCCATAGAGTCCTCTGTTTTCCTATTCTTACAATTGCATATTAAAAAAAAACATTTTTACATCTCATACGGATCAATTTATTTCTTGCAGCTTATAGAATATCTTATCGTGCCATCAAATTGTGCTTCGATCACATAGATGGATTCGAGCCATGTCCATATTCGATAGATACCGTATGGAGCATGGTAAAAGAGCATTTTAGGGTCGAGGATAATAGGGGCCTTTTGTATCACTTTTACACTAATTTCAGTAAATCCTTCATAGCGTCGTTGTGCAAAGAGTTAGCCGTTCACGCCCAAGAAGGAGACGAACTTTGTAAATTTATTTTTCGAGAGGCCGGCGAACATTTAGCAAAAGCAATTGCCTCGGTTTATAATAAAGCTTCCCCAATATTGTGCGAAACAGAGGGCGGTCTTCATATTTTGTGCGTAGGATCGGTGTGGCATAGTTGGAGTTTACTGAAACCCGGGTTTGAAGCGTGGATTGATAAGAAAACTACCATTCAAGAATTATCCTTGTTGAAACTGACCATTGATGTAGCCGTTGGCGCCGCGTACATGGCAATTGATAGGCTGCATTTAGATATTCCAAAAAGTTATTCCAAAAATTATGTAATTTTTTATGGTTATAAACGGGGCCACAAAGAAAATGAATTATTATATTCCACGTAACAGTAAAGCATTTATTTATATTTTTTGGATGTTTTTGCACTTCCTTAAATATTATAAATCAATGGAGGTCATATTTAAAGATTTTTGAAACATGTCGAACATGAAATAGAAAAATTTTATGCACAAAAAGAAATTTGTACCTACATGTATTTTATTTTATGATTATTGATATAATGTAATTAAGTATTGTATTAATTTTATGAAAACAACGGATAAATAAATAAATATATGTATCTACACTTTTCATTTGTTATTCACCAGTCGTTATATAAATCGTTTTAATTAAATATTTTCAGGAAAAGTTCAGGGTAAGTACATATTTTTCAAATATTCTCATAAATTAATCTAATATTTTTTCAATAACTTTTTTATGTTTTAAACAGATCACGAACTGTTTAAATAAAAAATAATTTACTTTACCTATATTTACTTACCATAATTTGGAAACACTTACTGACCATTTAATTAGTTGTTATACAAAATTAATAAGAAACATGCAATATTCCCCTAAATTTTTAACTGACCATCCGTTATTTATTTAGGTTGACAGAAAATATTATATTTTTGTGTTAGACATAAATAATATAATTCAAACGGATTTTAATAAATTATAAAAAGCTTTTAAGCTTTAAGTTTTTAAACTTTTCATTAAATTGGTTTTAATTTTTAGTAGGTATTAAAATGTAATTGTAATTGATGACAGACAATAACAAAATTTACTTCGGTCATGTACGATTTTGCTTTATTATTTTTTTTTATTTACATACCATACTTTCCAACTTTTATTGTCGAGTATAAGGAGTATGGAGACAAGTTGTAAAACTATTATTCAACAATCCACAATTACCACGTTTTGTATTTTAATTTGTCTTTGTTTAAAGATAAACTTTTACAAATTGCCCATACGAGTATTTTTACACATACAATACATTAAATATATCTATGGGTTATTTCCTTTACACATTACATTTTTAACAGTAATATTGTCGTTTTAATACTGTCTAATTATTATTATTATTTGTTTAATGAAATATTAATTTTGACTTCTTTTGCATCCCAAACCAGAAAGAGTAAAATATATGAAAGATATAAATAGTGTCATACAACTCAAAACGCATTGAATATTTTTGTTTTCTCTTTTTGATGTTTCCAACAAATAATATTAATAAAAATAGGATTTATTCCTATTTGTTTTATAGATGATATGTAAATCTAGAAGGAATGTTATAAAAGTTGTGCTATAAATTATTTATAAACTATTATTCGTCCTAATTGCTATCCTAAAGGAATATAAAGTTAAAACCTTTTAATTGTTATAAAAATTATTTATGAAACATTTTTAAATGAATAAAGACAACATTAATAAGCTTTCTTCAAAAACTGAAAAGTTTGTATATTATAAAACAAGCAAGAAAGGTTCGTATCTCCTTTAGGTCATTTGTACTATTATTTAATCGTCAATGTTATCCTATTATCAGTTAACAGCTAATAAAATATTAGAATCACGAAATTACTGTACATTAATACAATTAGTTGAAAGAATGAAATATACAAGATATTCCAAATTTTGTTGGCAGAATTATGAGAAAAGCAAAGCAATTGCATTAGTTTATCATTTATACGAAGGTGTACTCTTACTGTGAATTGATCATTTATCAAAGAAGGTCTATAGGTAAAATTTAATGAAAGAAATTTAAAAATTTTACATGGTAATACGAAAGTTAGTTTCCTAAAAAAACTTGAAAAACAAATAAACCATAAATAATAAATTGTAGACTCACAAAAATGTTTGTGTGTAAATAGTTACAGAATGAATTTCAATTTTTTATTTCAATTTTTATTTGAAAATGGTCAAAAAATGGAAAGAAATGTCAGAATAATCTTTTCACATTACACATAAATTTTATGGTATTTATTACTTATTTTAAGGGCAGTAGTCGCATAACTTAGGGTTTTATTTTATTGTTAAAAACAATAAATCATGAAAACTGTATACCTACTTAAGATGCAATATGTATAAAACGCTACGACTAAAGATTATAAAACAATTACCTAATTAAGCATAATATGTGTTTCTTTAATTAATACGTACATAATTAATATTTTAAACAAAGGAATATGCACCTAATGTAGGTTTGATATATTTTTTTAGGTTCACAATACTATTTAGAACTGATTTCATTTTTTTAAAACCTTTAACATGATAATGCAAAACTACGTACTCTGTCTCGATTATTATCATTATATTTAAAATATTTTTATTGGTCAACAAAGTAAAAACATTATTTACAATCTTGTCTACTATTTGTTGTCACTTCTTAAACTGTATAATAAGCGTTTTTGTACAGATTATGTACAAAAAATCTCGTTAAAACACTGGAAATAACCCATACCAAGTCAAACAATAACGAATTACTGTTATTATTTTCATTATTATTGATGTCGAATTAGTGTTAAAGTTGTGCTGTTTTGTTTTTGCCTACAACCATTAATAATCGCTGCAAGGTCATAGTAATTTCCGTGGTACCTTTAACAAACCATACGGGCTTATCGGTCCACATGATGCAAAGTGCATAAACTGGTACAGCTGTTAAAATCATTAGGATTCCTATACCAGTTTCCACTGGGCTTGCTATCATTGGTACCGCAGTTACGAAAATTGTGGCCAAAAGATACAGTATGGGCCAGATCAAATTCACTTTTATGGGTCGCTCCATATCTGGAGCTTTCCATCTTAGCCACGGCACGCAAAGAACTGCTACACCTATACTTAACTATAACGAAGAAAAATTGGTTGAAAATCCTTGAAGATATTTACTTTTTACCGATTTTGGTTTATTTATTCCTACTTACCCATGTGGCAAAACCAACATAATTGATGAGGGCAAATATATCAGAAACAGTCAGATACAACATTGACAGCAGAGCCTGTAAAAAAAATTTTCTTAGCAGAAATGCAATTTTCAGAAAGTTACCATTTCCATGATATACATATAAAGATGATAAAACAATTATGCAAACTCATAGAAAAAGTTGAAAATTCATAAGAGAATACTATAAAAATTCCTCGAAAAGAATTAGGAAAATCCCATGAACAAATGACCAGAAAGTGCCGGGGAAAATAATGAAAATTGCTGAGAAATATGGAAAGTCTTTGAAGAAAACAACTATGGAAAACGCTGGGAAAAAATTGTAAGAGGTTCAGCTATAAATGTTATGATGAGAACTCCTAGACAACATGGAAGAAAACGTTAAAAACCCTGAGGAAAACAATAGAAAAACCCGGGAAAATATTTTTCTAATTTATATTTCAAGATAGAATCAACAGTCCCAGGGAAAAATAACGAAAATTAATGGGAAATATAGAAAGTTCTAGAAGAGAATACCGATGAAAAATGCCGGGAAAAAGTTGTAAAAAGATCTGGCATAAAAATAGCAGATGTTAAGGTGAGAAGTCCTAGGCAGCATGGACGAAAACAATGAAAATCCTTGGGAGAACGATAGAAAATCATAATAAAAACGTTTTCTTACTACTTCCTGATTTTCATTTCACGATAGAATCAACAGTTCTGGGGAAAAATAGTGAAAATTACTGGGTAATATGGAAAGTTTTAGAAGAAGAGATCGATGAAAAATGCCGGGAAAAAGTTGTAAAAAGGTCTGAGATAAAAATAGCAGATGTTATGATGAAAAGTCCTAGGCAGCATGGATGAAAACAATGAAAATCCTTGGAAAAACGATAGAAAATCATGAGAAAAACGTTTTTTTGTTACTTTTTGATTTTTATTTCAAGACAGAATCAACATTCCTGGGGAAAAATAATGAAAATTAATGGGAAATATAGGAAGTTCTGCAAGAAGAGACTAATGAAAAATGCTGGGAAAAAGTTGTAAAAAGGTCTGGGATAAAAATAGCAGATGTTATGATGAAAAGTCCTAGGCAGCATGGATGAAAACAATGAAAATCCTTGGAAAAACGATAGAAAATCATGAGAAAAACGTTTTTTTGTTACTTTCTGATTTTTATTTCAAGACAGAATCAACATTCCTGAGGAAAAATAATGAAAATTAATGGGAAATATAGGAAGTTCTACAAGAAAAGACTAATGAAAAATGCTGGGAAAAAGTTGTAAAAAGGTCTGGGATAAAAATAGCAGTTGTTATGATGAAAACTCCTAGGCAACATGGAAGAAAACGATCCTTGGAAAAACGATAGAAAATTATGAGAAAAACGTTTTTTTGCTACTTTTTGATATTTATTTCAAGATAGAATCAACATCGTTTTGACTTTTTTAAAGATCCTAAAAGCTTTGCCCCACTTTGCCTGTATGATGATGTGAATATCAAAATTTCTATTTGATAATATAAGTACCATAATGAGTATAGCTGGTGTTGGTGTCATTCGTTGCGTTTGAATCATAATCAATAATTCTGGCATCTGTCCGTGGCATGCACCAGCGTAAAAAAGCCTCGAGGATGTCAGGAGAATGCCGTTAACTGCTCCAAACGTGGACAGTGCAACAAAAACTGGAATCGTCCACGCAAAAGGGCCGAACAGTTTTTCTGCGAAAGAAACTGCAACAGCTTCTGAACCAAGTACTTCAGCCGGTGATAGTGTCGTGTAAAATGCCATATTTGTCAGTACGTAAACGATGGTTACCAAAGTGCAAGAAATTCCAATGGCTAACGGAAGATTCCTGAAAGAAATGATCCTATGTTTGATCCAATTTTTGTAGGCTTGCAGTGCCTAGCGTGAACCTGCCTATTTATTGATTATATTTGTAACTTTAAATGTTTGTTGCAAAATAGTAATTCTACAGTTTCAGTTTAAACCTATTCGTTTCGTAATATTTTCCTAATGTATAAAAATAATGTTAATCATAATTTATGGAAACGATTTTAATTAATATTTACACCGAATTAAATCCATCGAAAGAACGTTTAATTCTGTCGTAGAATAATCTAATAAAAATAATGGAAAACGGCAGATATTATCGTCTATTTTTCTCAAAACTTGGTTTTTTTAACCACTAAAATAAGTGTAAATTGCTAAAATTTATTATCTATTATGTATTGTGTACTTTAACGGACATTTACATAGAAGTACATTCGTATTAAAATTGAATAAATAAAAAATAAAACAATGAACAAACTTACCTTACTGGATCTTTAAGTTCTTCTATTATGAAGTTCAAGTAATTCCTAGAAAGAACATTAATTTTGTTGCATTTTTTTAAATTAGCTGCGTAACAAAATCATTAATATGTGAAGAGAACATCAGATACAAAGTATGAAACATTCAAACATTTTTGATGGTATTTACCATTAAAATGGAAGAATTCATTTAGTGTGTATATATAGTATCTAGTATTCCTTGTATTACTAGTTACGCCACTGGTCACAATTAAGGGATATAAATTTTGAAGAAATTGTATCGCAAAGTTTAAATATCTAATTACTTTTTATGATTATTAGTGCTAACATGTAAAAATTGTTTTGGAAAATTAAAAAAAAGCATGTATGAATCTAATGGTTATCATTAAAGATTTAGTAACATGTTCAGTGTAAAAAAGAAATAGTGTAAAACTTTGATAAGATAACAACACAGTAATAGTGGAAAATCAATTTCTTTTTTTGCAATATCATCCTTTTTCCTCACCAGCCGTTGTATGCGAAAAGGCCGGAGTAGAAGGAGAGGGCCAGTGATGTAACTTCCGTCTCAGTGTTGGTGAACGTAAAGTACTCCGTGTGGCCTGAAAACATCGAATTTTTTCATTTTTCTGCATCTACTGCAGCTTGATGTTTTACTCAGGCTTTTCTGTGAACACCCTGTTGCTTAACTTTTCAAACTCTCCAAACTTTTTTAATATCTGAATCGACGTGAGCACGTCTAATTTTTGTACCAAGTTATTACAGATGTTTAATTATCTAAATTATTTCCTTTTTTCAAGATTTTTATAAAAATACGAATAGGTATCTACGTTAGTACTTCTCTGAAAGCTTTTCCATTTCATTGTTTTTAGCGTAGAGCAAAGGGTCAGGGTTACCATCAATCGATAGCACATATCGTAAAGCTCACACTTAGTACAAACATTGTAAATGGAAATGTAAGATATACAGGGGCAAAAGATTAGTATGCTTAGATTTGCAGATGATATAGCAGTATTAGAATCTAGCAAAGAGGAGTTACAGATAGCTTTAAATAAAACGGAAGTGGTATTGACAGAACAGTAGTGTATGACAATAAATAAAAGTAAAACAAAAATACTGGTATGCAAGGGAAAAAAAAGTAGGGAATGAGCGAATATAAAGATAGGAGACGAGAAATTAGAAGAAGTGGCAGATTTTAGGTATCTAGGAAGTCAGGACGGAAGGAGTAGTAGTCATATAAAGCAAAGGATAGCGCAGGGTCAAGTTGCCTTCAATTAAATGAAGTCACTTCTATGCTTGCGAACGATTTATTTAGAAATTCGAAAAATATTGTTAAAGGTGTATGTTTGGAGAGCAGCGCTGTATTGGTTCCAAGCATGGTGGTGGGCGCGGCAGAAAAGAAAATGTTAAAAGTGTTCGAAATGTGATGTTACAGGCAAATAATGAGGATACCGTGAATAGAGAAGGTTAGAAATGAAATGGTATTAGAAAGAGTAAGAGAACAGAGGACTCTACGGTAGTCAATAAGAAATAAGCGAGATAGGTTGGTAGGACACCTTCTCAGGCATGAAGGTCTAGTTAGAGGCATGTTAGAGGCAGACACAGTGTTAGGACGAGTAGAGGTAGACCTAAATTAGATTACTGTTCGCGAATATTTAAGGATGTGGGTTGATCTAGTTTTGGAGAAATGCGATGATTAGCTCAGGATGGGATGTGCGTGACCAACCAGTCTTAGGACTGACGACCTTATGATGATGATCACGTAGCTGGTTTATTGAATTAAATTAAATGTATCAAATGGTAAATGCAACTCTTAAGTAGGTATTACCATTAGTGTAAAAAAAGACTTTGGAAATGCAAAAACAAAATACCTTTTGCAAGTTCATACACTCCTGCCGCTATAATTATAAATAGGGCCACCAGTTTGGCATATGTAAAGACGTCCTGAACTCTAGTTGCCCATTTTACATCGTAGCAATTCACAAACGTTAACACACCTGCAAACAATGAAAATGAACATTAAATTGAATCTACCCTCAAATGTCTCTATTAAAATGAGTTGATTAAGAATTTAATGTTGCAACTGGGTTTCCTCATGATAGATTATGAGGAGGGCTTACACGTTAAGACCGAAACACAGATGTTGGTTGTTTTTGTTCCCAACGTATCTCTAATTCCACACATCTTGAAATTGATTAAGGATTAAACACGTAAGGATAATAAATAAAGCAGAATATTCTTTCAGGGCAATTTTGAGGGTAACTACCCCAGTAGCACACGACATTGGCCCAATATTTATTCTATATTGGTACAATATTGTATATGGGCCCAATATTGGCAATTTATAGCCAATATTGGTAATATATAGGACATATACCTTTTTCCTATATTTTAATACAATGTTTATCCGATATTTATCCAATATTAATAAAAGATATTTGACAATAACTTTTATTTATATTGATTTGTAATATTTATCCAATATTGGCAATATATACAAGGGATGTACCTTTTCCTTTATTTATATAGAATATTTATCCAATACTGACCCAACATTGAAAAAACATCTTTGACAAAATTGAGTCCATATAAAGACACTTTGCCCGGCGCTTGGGTACCAAAATTCTTGGAAGATTGATGGTTAACTTTTAGGTCGCCTAGAAATTGCAACCTAACGTAAACTAACCGTTAGCTAATATTGGTAATATATTGGAGATGTACCTTCTTCCTATATTTTAATACAATGTTTATCCGATATTGATCCAATATTAATAGAAGATATTTGGCAATAACTTTTATTTATATTGATATGCAATATTTATCCAATATTGGTAATATATATAAGGGATGTACTTTTTCTTTTATTTATATAGAATATTGATCCAATATTGATCCAACATAGATAAACCATGTTTGGCAAAATTGAAAGTCCATATGAAGACACTTTGCCCGTCGCTTGGGTACCAAAATTCTTGGAAGATTGATGGTTAACTTTTGAATCGCCTAGAAATTGCAACCTAACTAACCGTTAGCCAATATTGGTAATATATAGGAGATGTGCTATCTTCCTATATTTTAATACCATGTTTATCCGATATTGATCCAATATTAATAAAAGATATTTGGCAATAACTTTTATTTATATTGATATGTAATATTTACCCAATATTGATAATATATATATAAGGGATGTACTTTTTCCTTATTTATATAGAATATTTATCCAATATTGATCCAACATAGATAAAACATGTTTGGCAAAATTGAAAGTCCATAAAGACACATGGCCCGGTGCATGGGTACCAAAATTCATTGAAGGCCGATTGTTAACATTTAGGTCGCCTAGAAATTGTGTTACGGTCGGAAATGCTACCGGGTTTTTCATCCTCTGAAAGTATTTGTTGCAATCGCCCATTAGTGCAAATAAAGTGTGTAAATGTAGAGGCAAGTAAAGAAGTGGTAAGTAAATGTATATTTTAATTGTTTAATTAATTATTATGTACTGTGTGATTCTCACATGTAGTAATAAATGTTAACTGGATTATATAATAAGTCAGGGAAAAGATAGTGTTTGGCATATATATGTATTCGTAATGCGTATAGTTTTGTGTTAGAACTTACAAGAATATTTCGTTCACATTAACAACGTTTTTCAGACACTTTTGGAGTCTATTTTGTTGAATTTAATTGCCCTTCAGGTACTTTTGCCGGACCCCTTGGGTCAAAATATCTGTGCTGGTTACTAGCTTGATACAGCCTGCTCTCCATCTCACCCTTCAGGAGGCCTGTTTGTGTATTAAAGATAGTTTTTAAGTTGTAGTTACATCGAATCTTAAATGGACGTGTAACGTACAGAGTCGTCTGTACAGATCTTATCTAATCTTATGGTGAGTGCATTTAAATTTATATTTCCAAAATTAATGTGATTTTATAAACACCTAATCGTATTGGACATAATTGGTTAAGTATGTTTTGCCGATGTTTGATTGTATAGCTCCGCCGTGGCGTCATCGCAGTTTATATTTTCATCATTTTTTATATTTTTTTTATTTTATGTGATCTTAGAATAAATATTAAGCTATAGGTATCATTAAATTGTAGGCTTGGTTGTAGGTAGGTATATTTTAGATAGCTCGTAATGTAATATGTGTAGGTACTTACAATAATTATTATTGCTGTTTCCGAAGATAATGACAATTTTTTTCTGCATTTTTAGAAGCTGTCCGAAAGCGGTTTCAAAATCCTACCGACAATGATATTAAAAAATCAATTTCGGCGTATTTAGCAGGTGCTCGGGACAAGGAAGGCGGGCGGAAGAGTAGATGACATTATTTCACATAATATTAGTTTTTTTTTATTTACAAAACATTTGTTTAGAATGTATTTTTTTTTGTTTGTTCGTAAATTTAATTTAATTTTCCATAATATAATAAAAAAAACATATACCGAACAATTTTTTATTTCAGTGTTCTATTATATTATTATTTCTTAAAATTGGATCAATATTCAATTTTAATATTGGGTTGATATTAAAAATCTACATTGGGCCAATAAAAAAAAATCTGACGTTTCCATCATTGAACCAATATGTAAATATAATATTTTACCAATATTTTTGTGGTACTGGGGTAGATATTGTGCCTATATATACATGATATATTGTAACTATATATAAAACATATATTGGACCAATCTGGAAAACAAATATTGGCTGTATTTTTCAAATAAATATTGCACATTTATTATTTCCTAACATTGGAACAATATTTAATTTCAATATTGGGTTAATATTAAAAATCTACATTGGGCCAATAAAAAAAAATCTGACGTTTCCATCATTGAACCAATATGTAAATATAATATTTTACCAATATTGTTGTGCTACTGGGGTATGTAAAGTAATAAAGGATAAAATATTAAATATATAAGGCAACGGTTACTTTAATTTCCTTATCAAATAAAGCATTGTGTCGTGCCGAATCCGATTTATCCAATTAGAAGACAGGAAGGCTTTCGGTTTCTTGTTTCGTAAAGAAGAACATTTTATTCTTGAACTATGTCAATTGGATTAACGGACAAGCCCAATTTACTCGGGAACAAAATAATAAAAGTACCGAATTAATCAGTTAAGCAACAATGACTGTAATGTAGTCTTTCGCAATTATCCCATTTGGTCAGTCCTATGATATACTAAGAATAGGTACAACTCATCATCATTGTAGACACTTTAATTTGTTCCTTCTGATCAGTTCAAATCACGTTAGCCACAATCCTCAAAGGCGAATCAATCTCGGAAAAAAATAAAGCCTTAATGTAAATTATACAAATACTGCGAGCGGGGGAGTTACTAAAGATTGACATGGGCGTCGTCGAAATTACTTTTAAGGAAAAATAGGCACATTATTTATGATTAACATCAATTTACAATCGAAAGCACATTTTTGACTAATAAACGTATTGACTAAACAATAGCAAAATAACAAAATTGATTTTTTGACATGTATACGTATAGTATAGTTACAGCAGAACTTTTTAAATTTTGTAGACGGAAAAATTTAGAGATTTGGGGCTTTTGGAAAGAGTAAAAAAGAACTGTAGGACATTTTCTGAAGCATGAGAGAAACATTGGAAGTAAAACCAGGAGGGAAGAAGAACCAGGCCACAGAAAATTTGCACCTTTCTGGAACTGTCCACAGGAAAGGATAGGCACCAGTGGAAAAAGTAACAGGAAAATTTCCAACCTAATTAAATAATAAGAAAAAACTAAAGGCAAAAACGAGTGCGTTCGTTGTACATGGCTCCAATGGTGAAAATTTTCAGCAAAAATACATTCACTTACAAATGCAGCAAACTGCTAGTAATCTTGCTGCATCTTCAGGGGGTTGGCATTCATGAAAGAAAGGTTTCATCACATAAACGCTGAAAGTAAGTGCGACTATAGCTTGTGAACAGGGTCGAACTATCATACATTCAATCCAAAGCCTTACAAAAGCCAGAAAAGGACCAAAAGTTTCCATTATATAAGCGTAATCAGCTCCACTTTTTCGAATCATTGTCCCCAATTCTGCATAGCAATATGCACCAACCTACAAAAAATGGGTAACTGAAACTAGACATCAAGGCGGGTTTCTGATTAGAGCAATCTGAATCTTAATTTCCTGGCGAGCGTTAAATTATGAGTAGGTATTAAAGCATTTTTTAGTTTTCCTACATTATCGAGAATGCCTAAGAAACTCGTATAGACAAGAATTAAGAAAACTTAGACTACTTATATTAAATATTTGAAAAGAAATACAAAACTGAAACTGATTTATCGAGAATCATCAAAAAACAATTGAAGTCAAATTCGTGTAAATGGCAAATAAAATGTTATAATCATGGAAAATGGTTGAAATAGTAATTAAGTAGATCTTTTTATATTCTGAACAAGCAATTAAAGTTGAAGACGTTTCTCGGAGTAATTCGCAAATGTCTGGTTCATCTTGCACACAATATGAATGCTGTAGTCAAAGAGGCGCTAAAGAAGCTGTCAGCTCCAGAAATGTTGAACGATTTCTTTAGAAAATTAATTACGTAATTCTGAATCACTTCAATTCATTTCTTTTTCTTTTGTTCTGGAACTGCCTAAGTATCCATATGAAACTCAAATTTAAGGGCTTTTCGTTTGTTAAATAAAAACAATTGTGAAAAATAATTGATATTAAGTAAAATAGCTAAAAATTCTAAAGAATTTTGCTATCTGCGTATCATAAAGAATAAGAAATGCCTNATAAGGATAGTAACTAAAAAATACAAAAAGCCCTTATTACACATTAAATGTTGTAAAATTATTTTAATGTTAACTAATAAAGATACGTTTAAAAAAAAACATGAATTTTACTGGGAGGTCTTACACAATTCTAATTTAAAATTAAATAGTCTTATAAATCATCCTCAACAAAATAAATTGTGCGGTTTTGATTCTGAGAAACTATAAAGTTGTGGATATTGTAAAGGTAATTATAATGATAACAAACCATTGAGAAAATGCCTGAAATTGTCCACACAAGCAAAGATGCATTGACACTTCCAGTATGCATAAGGACTCCGGTTGGAGATACAAAAATCCCTGAACCAATAATGCTTCCTACAATAACAGTTATCCCATTCAGGAGGCTCATTTTGGGCTTTAGAGCGATCTCATGGTCTAAGGGTTCTGTTCCATCCATTGTGGCAGTTATCTAAATGAAAATATATGATAATAAATTATCCACAATTTTGGCAAAAGTACAAATTCTTGGATGTAATTGTGCCCATCTCGAGTAAACTCTGGATGATCCTTAAGCTCTATGTATGAACTAGAAATCTAGGGAGTTTAGTAAGTACGAAAGAAGCAACAAGTGGAGCTATCAGTCTTCCATATTAAATAAATAGCATAAAGTATTTTTAAATGGAATTGATATTTACGCATTCCGGAAACTTGGTATTTGGAATGTATGAATATTTAAGTTACAATCAATTCTTACATTTTTCTGATGTTATAATTAACAATAGTAAAATGTTTTCAATACATAAATTATATTATAAGTAATAAAAGAAATTTAGCAATCTTGAAATATTAATTTTAAAGGATCCAACTGTATTTCAGATGATTNTTTAAGATTATTTATTAAATTTCCAAGGGTAACTCTCAATTTCAATGTTTCTTGACAGCAATTTTTTACTTCAATATTGCAAGCAACTTACAAAATACTTGTTGATATAAGCTGACTTGAAACTGCTGACTTTGGATAACTATTTAACTCAACATTACGAAAAATAATAATGTTAATTATCTTTAAAAACTAGCAAATGTTTATAAAAGGCATACTGACTTAATTCTTACTCTTACCTTTTTTTTTTGTATTTCCGGTTAACTATTAAAATACAATAATTTTGTTCTACACACTACTTATTTCGCTACGTTGTTTTCACAAAATCAGGTCAGTGGAAGCGACCTGGCTTCCAATGTGAAGAGTTTCTTCTGGAAGTTGGAGTTTTAGTCCGCGTGGTCTGTTGCCGACGTCCACCGTCGACAGCGTCGTCAACGACTTGTCCTGCGCCTTAATTTTCCTACATTCGCTCTTGGATGACGACGTTAACGAGGATCAATAAGCTGGACCACTATGCTGTTGGAAACCGGCTCGCCCTGCGCCCTTTAAAAACCTCACCACGTGTTCGGTTTCCAATGTGCAAACTTTGAACTAACAAAAGAAAATCGCGAACACAAAAGGAAATAATAAAACGAATCGTCCAAGGATGATGCAACAGGATCAAGGGTTACACAAAGAATTATGAAAGGACACAGTAACCTCGAAATACGCTCACGACTTTTAAGACTCATTTTTATGCAGGATGTATTTTTTGTTTTCAAATAATGGCCTAGTTAATAAGTAGTATATAATTTCGTGATTTAGACATGCAATTTGTGCAAAACATTCAATCAGGAACAGTTTTTTTAAGAATCTAATTAATTTTCGCAATATTTTCTCATTTTCACTTTCAAACATAGTACGATATGCATAAAGATCTGCTACTTATTTTGACACCTTTAATGCATGCAAAAACACAAGGTTATTGTAGATATAAGTATATTATTTATTATTACAATTTTTATAACAAATACTAAAATTTTACAAAGGAACATAACACTGATTTTGAGTGAATCTGTTGGACCAATTACGTCTTGTAATAAAAAGCATTGTCTTATGTGAGAATTTCTTTAAGAGTATGGAAAATAAATAATAATTTGTATAATTCATTAACAACTATTCAAGTGAAGACTTCCTAAATAGTATACAGAATAACCCTCAGAAAAATTTTGAGTTTTGGAAGTTATGAGTACCTAAAACAAATGGTCGTGTAAATTTAAACATACTAAAAAAAGTCTTGGTGACCTGTCCCAGCCGTGGTAAACCACACAATAAATAATGTTTTCACATATATATCTCCAATCATATTGTAGAGAATTTTGGCGTAAATAAATCAGAATCAGTCAAAAATTTGACTATACGATTTTAAAGACAATTGAATGTGTTCTTATTGAATATCCTTACATTACAGTTATTTATTTAAACATTAACTATTATGAAACTTTGCGCACATTTCAAAAATTACTTATTTGTTGAAAAGGGAATCTATTTAAATAACTATTTGAAGTTAAATTAACGTCCTCTATTCATTAGTTTTAAACAGTGACAGCAGGCCAAGGCCAGGTCTAAATTTCCCTACCCTTAGAATATATCTTAATAAATATGCTTCTATAATAATTTATGTTACACATAATTTAGTTGTATTTAAGTATATTCTAATTACCCAAGTTTTATCTACGTTGTGTTAAAACAGGATTAGAATTTTGTTGATATTTGACGACTCACCTAATATGTTTGTGGTTTTTCTTAGACCTTTCGGTCCCAAAGTTCTTCCTGTATTTAGTATCTTTTTCAGAGAAAACGCTATACAAAGCATCTGTAGCCTCCCAAGAAGGACTACTCAGTATAAATTCGAATATTATAATCAAAAGTTAGTAATTCTAATAAAAAATTGTTATAAATTAGTTTTTCTAATATTCCTATTTGATAAGGTTATATATCAAAAGAAAAGTTTCAGACTTTCGGGCTATAGGTTTCTTTAATTATTATTGCAGGATTCATGGTCTCTAGTCTCTAAAAGTCCTCGCACCCGTTGAGTAAGGAGTTCTATCGTATTATTTTAAAAAGAAACCGATATTGCCTTTATCAAATAAATTTTCATTAAAAATTCAGACAAAAACCATATGGTTCTCGCAAAAAACGCCATGACCATCAAACACTTTCGCTGTCTTTAGTTTAATAAGTTGTAAATACTATTAAATGAAGAGTCAACAAGTATACAGATGTTCGATTACCATTCCTGTTTACTTTTATTCTGATTCATTTTTTAAATCATGGGCAGTTTGTATCTTATGTTTTATAATTTGTGAAAGTATTTTGAAGTAACACGTTCGCACTCTACTTATTTGATTAACTGATTAATTATTAATTAATTACTCATGCTTTACATCTGTCACACTTTATTAGGTTGTCCATCTTATACTTAAATAAGGATAGTAACTAAAAAATACAAAAAGCCCTTTGTACACATTAAACGCATAACCACAACTAAAAATTCAGACTTATTATATTGATGTCAATTTTTTTGGTAAATGATTTTTACAGCTTAAATAAAGGACTTAATTTTTTGTGATGATGTTAAAAAACTGAATGAGTTCTTTAAAACAGATCTAATGTTTATAATATTTATTTGTTTTTATAATCTTATTGTGACATATAAATACATAATCAGATTATATTCTCAATTTTTTAAACTTTCTGATCATTTTGGTACACATGTTATAGAAAGTGCTTTTAGATAATTTTAGACACGCGAAAGTAAAAGTATTTAATCGTGTGATTTGATAAATATGCTTTTCTAAATGTTAACTCTATTTTCACTTAATATGCAAATCGTCTTTTTGCTTATTTGACTTTTTAAATGTGTAACTACAACAGAACCCAAACGTTAAGCAATTAAATTTAATAGACAATTGCTACATACGATAAATATTTATAAAAGAGGCATTTTGAAACGGAAAAAATTATCAACAGAATTGAATGGAATTTGTTTAAATATAAACTTTTTGTAGTATTCGAAAAATATGTTTGTGAGAATATATAATTTAAATATATATGAAATAGTTTTCCTAATTTCTTTAAGAGTATGNTTTAAATATATATGAAATAGTTTTCCTAATTTCGGCAACTATCTAATTTTCAACCCTTGGGGGTAGAATATTTCTATCAAATTTAAATAGAACCCCCTTGAGTTATATGCTATATAAGAACATAGACCCTCCTTTCATCTTTAAAGTAGGTTAAAAATAAAATAACAAATTAAATTATCGATAAATCTATATGCATTTAAAAATAGTGATACTTGACATTTCCGTAAAATTTATCGCAATAGATCTTCCTTACGATCAGGATGTGATCTGTATTGAAACTTTTCCAATTTCCTGTGCTTGAAGAATTTGTTTCATCCGATTCCAAATCTTGTCCAGTAAACAGTCGCACACCTGCGAAACGTCATTATCTGTCTTTCTGTCTCCACACCTTCGAATGCTTGACCCTCACCTTCAAGCCTCTTTCTTCCTCTTTTAAATGCTTGCCTTTGCAATTTCCCTTATTAAACATCATATCATCTCTCCACGCACCGGTTAGACTTGACTCTTCTTGCTCAGTCGACTTTCATTTCTTCGCATTTCCGATCCAAAGCAACAGTAATAAAACACAGTCTCCGGCAATTTTTAATAGTAGGTTAGTGTGTCGTGTTTTTTTCGTTTACGTGCCCATCGGCTATTGTGAGATTACTATCATACAACCGGCGGATTCCTGAAGAAATTAAGTACATATCAAGACCTGCTAAAAGACTGATGTGGTGAAAAATGCACTGTCACAACTGCTAATCCGTTCGTTTTATCTGTCGACGATAATTGAATTGTTGTGATTCGGTCAATGTCGATGTTCAAAATGAAAACGACAATTTGAAATAGAAATTTGTGTTTTCGTTTTCGTCTAAAATGCGCGAATGTGCAGATCGTATAAGAAGAGAAAGAACTGCCCCATTGAGTCCTCGAACCGCTCTGAGGAGAATTTTAGTCCTTTCTGAAGGACGTCAGTTCCGTGAAGCCGCTTCCGTTATAGCCAGACTGGGACCAAATGCTCTTTGCGTTCTTGCCAACGAACTACCCCTAGAACTTCTTATCGAAGGACTACCTCATTCAGCACAACTTTTAGAAACTTTTTTTAAAAAGTAAGCCAAACTTTGTGTATTTTCAGCAATAGTTTACTAAATAGCATCACAAATAGGAGAAGGCACATAAGTTATTTGGTATTGTGAATAAAATAAACAGTCTATTTTTATTACTTTACTGGCAATTTTTTTGGAGATTTTTGTTTATAAATTGCAAGTGTTGTCTTAAAATCTAACTGTTTAATAACTAATGTGTTTGCAGTATTTGACAATTTATCACGCATCTACTAAAACTTTTACTCAAAACATCTAATAAACATAACTTAAATTAATTACCACGGTAATTAAAACTATCCCATATAATATAATATAATAGTTATAAATAGTAAAAAAGTNGCAGCCGGTCAAAGAGGAATTTTCAACGCCGAACCAGTGTTGTGGCAACTAATCCGCTTGCTTTCTTCGCAACAGGAATTCGGATTGAAATTCCAAATCTCCAGGGTTGCTCAAAATCTTATCGAATTTCAACCCGATTTATATAGTTTAATTGCAACAAGAAAGAAAACTTTCGACCAAACGGTACAAGGTACATCACAAATAATCAATAAACCAATCTGCGACAATAAAAAATTTGAAAACAACAAACTTTTACAGGTTTGGGATGTCATGGTTTGACTACAAGCGCCTCAGGTTTGACACCTCTCCATTTGGCATTAAAAACAGAACTTCAATTATACATAGAAACATATAAATCCGCCCTGCACAGGCTGGAAGAGCTGGGGGTGACTGCAAACAATATCAAGAAGCCTGTTGATGCTTCACACCACCGACTGTTATCACTTAATTTTGAAGAAGTTGAACAAAGACTGATAGATAACAAAACTCTACTGACGATATTAGACAAACCAGCCCTGAAACAACTGACTTCGCTTATAAAGACGTTATCAGCACGGGTTGAAAATGACAAGGAGGCTTTGTTCTGCATATCACAAATCAAAAGGTTTTAAAGCGAGAAGTTCTTAAACTTTGACATCATTTTCTTATGCATTAAAAAATATTTCATTTTAATCGATTTTAAGAAATAAAAATTAAAAACTTTCCCATTTTTTTCATGTAATCACTTGAAATGTAGCCTATACAATGACGAGATTGCGTAATCTTTTCAATTAGTCTTCTTATCATTCTCCAATTTTTCATCCTTACAGATGGAAATTTTTTCCAATTAACGCCTAATAAACATACAAAAGAAATGCCTTTTTTTTAAATCTGTTGAAATATTACAAAAGAGAGCATTTTTGCTTCTTTAGTATGATATTGTTCTATTTTTCAAGTTTACTAAACTTTTATGACAAAATAGAAGAACAAATAACAAATTGCTGACTACATCTTTCCTTTGTTGTTATTTATATTATTGCCCTTTTTTAGACTTCAAACCATCGATGAAGACAAACCGGTAGCATCAATTCTAATGTCTTTCTCTAGAGGATGCGAGTCTTTTCTAGATTTGGTGAAACTCGGTGAAAGTCCGTGCAGTAGCGACGGATATCATTCAGAATCCGAACAAGAAAACGAAGATGGGTAACCGTTAATATTTTTTTATTGACCCTTTACGTGTGTACATGTGTGAAGATTTATTGCACTTCGCTGAATATTAAATTCACCTACTTTTTTACAGAGAAACTGCGATCTCAAAGTATGGCAAATTATATTACCAGAGCAGGCCCAGGGCTTTGGAAGCTTTGGATTCACTGCCAGATTTACAATACGCCACTCAACTGAAAGCTAAAATTCTATTTTCTGTTGTAGTGGTATGAAATAATGTTGATATTTTTTACACTTGTAAACCAATCTAAATGAAATTTTTGATACCTTAAATAGGGATCCTGTTTTTACCTTTGAAACAATTTTCATTTTCATTAAGTGTCTTGTTTCTGAAATATTCAGCTTTAACTATATATGTTCATGTGATTGTTAACTACTGGAACCAATTAAATGATTTACAGCTATAATGACTGACATTTTATTGTTATCCTGATTTAAAACGCAGCTGTTTTAACGTAATTTCTTGGTAATTAAAAGACAGCAAATTAGGATTCATAACAAACAAAGTAAGAAATAACTGTTTTTACGTATTGTTTGAGAAACTAATTGACTTGTTAAGTATAATTATTTAAATAACTATTTGAAGTTAAATTAACGTCCTCTATTCATTAGTTTTAAACAGTGACAGCAGGCCAAGGCCAGGTCTAAATTTCCCTACCCTTAGAATATATCTTAATAAATATGCTTCTATAATAATTTATGTTACACATAATTTAGTTGTNAGACAGCAAATTAGGATTCATAACAAACAAAGTAAGAAATAACTGTTTTTACGTATTGTTTGAGAAACTAATTGACTTGTTAAGTATAATTATAATATACCTCATTGGAAGAAAAAACAGTAAATTAAAATGATAAATTGTCATATTCGTAGCCCACAAAAAAATGAAGAATAGGTACAACATTAATTCTTTTTAAAACACTGTTAGAAATTATGTTTTGTTGTACAATTGTAATGTTTTTGCGTAAAATATAATTTGATTTGAATCGCTTTTCTACTTTCAATCACGAGTCACGTTCAAAGAAATTGCAAGTTGCAACTTTCATTATTCCGTTTTTCGGTCAATCAAACAAACGCTTATTTAAATAATTTAGTCTTATGATCTAAAAAATCAATTTCCATTAGCTATCTGTAAGATTTTTTCTTCTATTTTATTTTTTTACTATCTATGATATTTTTACTGTACACATGTTAT